AGGCCTCTCCAAGTGGACTATTGAGGTGAAAAGAGACCAGAAACCAGCCAAGTGGAACATTCTGGGCAGATCCAGGACTCAGTGTGGCTGTGTTCCGAATGCACGGGCTTCTGATGAACAGGACACACTTGGGACATTGGAGTTGTGTTGTGCAACAAAACCAGCAAGACAGCGGCATCAACCAGAGCCTGTGGGCCTTCAGATCCATTCCCTGTGGGGTTCTGGCTGCTCAGGGGACCCAGGCCTGGTTCCCAGGAACGCCCCCCCTTGCTCCAGCCCCGGGCCAGTGGAATCTTGTTCTGGCCAGAGTTCCCGACTCTTCTGTTGTGTCTGCCTGCTCATCGTCCTAATTCCTGAGCTGCGTGTTCAGGCTTACATCACTGTGTTCTCGCTACTTCAGTGGTTTCTGTTTCTGGGTACAACTGATACAGCAACAAGCCCATTTGTGGATGTTCTGTGGACAAGTCATATCTTCCATGCAGAAGCTGCCCAGAGTTAGTTGCCACTGAGAAGGAAGAAAGGAGGTGAAGAAGGGAAAGAGGAGGGAGAGGAGAGGGAAGGGGGAAGGGGAAGGCAGGAAGAGAGAAAAGGAAGAAGCACAAAGAAGGTACTCCCTGCCAAGCACGGTAGGCAGAATTCTCCCCTTGGCAGCTGTGGGTCTGGGGAACAGCTAGAACAACTGACTACAAGAGGAGGAACTACCAACTTCGGTCCCATGGCCAACTTTACAAAATAGCTCTGGTCCTCTGGAGCCATGTCAGAGCCACTCTTCACAGTGATCTAAGAGAGATGGTGATACACAACCCCACTCAACCACCCAACCCTGGTGCCTTCCTACCAAAAGGAATGAAAGCCCAGTTCGAGAAACTGTCCCTGAGTAAAGACCAGCCAGATGGGGAGCACCGGGTGGCGTCAAATGGTCAGAGACATGCCGCATGCACAACACATATAAAACCAGCCTCCCTGAGCGGCAAACACCAGGATGGCCCCTGAGGGGAGGGAATGGGGGTGACTGAAGGAGGGCAGCAGAGAAACCTCCAGATGCAGGCAAGCTCGCCACTGGTATCCACCGCACTCCACCCCCAGGCACCAGTCAGTAAGACACAGGAGCAGGAAAGGAAAGAGTCAACAAAACAAAGTGGCAACCCATGGAATGGGAGAAGATACTTGCAAATGACACTATAGACAAAGAACTGATATCCAAGATCTATAAAGAACTCCTCAAACTCAACACCCAAAAAACCAGATAATCATGTCAAAAAATGGGCAGAAGACATGAACAGATACTTCTCCAAAGAAGACATACAGATAGATGGCTAACAGACACATGAAAAAATGTTCATTATCATTGGCCATCGGGGAAATTCGAATCAAAACCACACTGAGAACCTTACACCAGTTAGAATGGCCAAAATCAATAAGACAGGAAACAACGTGTTTTGGAGAGGATGTGGAGAAAGGGGAACCCTCTTACACTGTTGGTGGGAATGCAAGTTGGTGCAGCCACTCTGGAAAACAGTGTGGAAGTTCCTCAAAAAATAAAAAATAGAGCTTCCCTATGACCCAGCAATTGTACTACTGGGTATTTACTGGGTATTTACCCCAAAGATACAGATGTAGTGAAAAGAAAGGCCATATGTACCCCAATGTTCATAGCAGCAATGGCCACCATACCCAAAATGTGGAAAGAGCCAAGATGCCCTTCAACAGGTGAATGGATAAAGATGTGGTCCATATATACGATGGAATATTACTCAGCCATCAGAAAGGATGAATACTGAACTTTTCCATCAATATGGAAAGGACTGGAGGAGATTATGCTGAGTGAAATAAGTCAAGCAGAGAGAGTCAGTTATCATATGGTTTCACTTACTTGTGGAGCATAAGGAATTACACGGAGGACATTGGGAGAAGGAAAGGAAAAGTGAATTGGGAGAAATCAGAGGGGAGACAAACCATGACAGACTGTGGACTCTGAGAAACAAACAGGGTTTTGGAGGGGAGGAGGGTGGGTGCTTGGGTGAACCCGGTGGTGGGTATTAAGGAGGGCATGTATTGCATGGAGCACTGGGTGTGGTGCATAAACAATGAATCTTTGAACACTGAAAAGATAAATAGAATAAAATAGAATAGAATTAAAATAAGATAACATAACATAACATAGAAAACCACAGGCTCAAAATGGAGTCACTTATGCTAGGACCACATCACCGAACCAGGGCCCAACACCCGACCTCCTGAAAGTGTCAGCCTCCCTCAGGAACACAGAATTAACGGGTTGGTCTGCAATGTTCTGATCAGCACCAATAAGGCAACCTGTCACACGGGCCCTCTCCATCCCCCAAAGGAAGATGAGATAATTTACCTGAGACCCTTTTGTCTGCAATGGAAGGTGACCTCCCCGAAATAATCCTTTTTTCTGTTTATAACTTTCTTGTCCTGCCTTTAGAACCCCTCCCTTTCTGTAGCCCTTTGGAAGTCCTCCCTACTTTCTAAATAAGATACTGCCCGATTCACGAAATGTTTAATAAAGCCAATTAGATCTTAAAGGAAAAAAAAAGAACAGGGACACCCCACAGGGAAGTGCCAACCCTTGCAGAGAGACCATCAAAGCCAACCCATGATCTAGGACCACATTCCGAATGCCTACTCTGCCAGGCTCTTCCTTCCTTCCTGTGTGGGTTTCACCGTCTCCTTCTCTCCCCACCCCAATTCTGTGCTGTCCCAGCTCCGAGCCCTGACCCTGTGAGGGACAGCCCACTCAGCCTGGAGCTGTGAGTTAGGTCTTCAGGCAGCATCGTGAGAGAGGGCGTCACCGTCAGCAAAGAGCATCCGTGTGTCTGTAACGAAGATCTCATCAGGAAAGGGGATCCCAAGAGACAGGACAACCAGCACATCCCCTGAAGCCCAGTAACAGCAGAATAACGGTCCCCACTGGCAGGCACTCTCCTCAGAAGGGGACTCAGGGCCGGCGAAATGCTAAAACCAAAGTTTGGCCAAGGCTACACTGTTGCAAACGCTGAGCGCACCACAGCAGCGTGAAATCAGCCACCATCAACCCACGACAAATGGTCACGGCTGTGTCTGACTCTGGATTTGGTCTGCAGGCTGCTGCGCTTGGCCAAACACGGGGCTCTGCCCCTCTCCTGGTTCCAGCCCCCTTTCCTGCTCTTCCCCAAACCGGCACCTGCCCTTCAGAGGAGGGCGTGACCTTCTCCCTCGGAATTCCATCCTCAGAAGCAACAGGAGGCTGCGGAATCCCCATGAACAGAGAGCCACCCGTTAGGCACAGAGCCCCCATCATAAGGACGCAGCGTAAAACCATAAGCCAACCTCAGCCAGATTGAGGTTGATCTGGAGAATCAGAACAGTCTCGTTCTGCTTTAAAATCCACATCCATCGGGCGCCTGGGTGGCTCAGCAGGTTAAAGCCTCTGCCTTCGGCTCAGGTCATGATCCCAGGGTCCTAAGATCGAGCCCCGCATCAGGCTCTGTGCTCAGCAGGGAGCCTGCTTCCTCTTCTCTCTCTGCCTGCCTCTCTGCCTACTTGTGATCCCTGTCTGTCAAATAAATAAATAAAATCTTAAAAAAAAAAAATCCACATCCATCTCTCTCTGCCCCTTAACAGGCCCATTTCCTGCTGACCGCGGCTGCACCGAAACCAAAACGGAGACTGCGGCTGAGGCGGGTAAACCCCATCAGGCTAACTTTCGAGAACTAGATAAGCCCAGTAGCTGGGATTAAAGCAAGGGGTTCATTCATTCGCTGACCTTCATTCACAGCATACAGAACTGTCTCAGGCACTGTTCTAGGTGCCAGGATCGCAGATGTGGACACAACTGACGGACTCCTACCCTCACGGATCTCACCTTGCAGGAAGGGGATGGAAGGTGAGCCCTGCACCTCCAACACCAATAACATCTATAAAGAAGCTGAAACAGGGCAGTGGTGTGAACAGGGAGAGCTGGGCGACGGGGACAGAGAGCCAGTTCTGGCCCACATGGTTGGCGGGTGCGTCTCTTAACAGTCAAGGTGAAGAGAAGGAGCTAGGCACGGGGACACATAGGGAAAGTGTGTTTTGGGCATAGACAAGCGTAAGAACCCAGATATGGGAACTGCAGACTTCATTGGCAGGTGTAGGGTTTCATCTGCAAGGACCTCAACCCTGGTATCCAACTGGAGTATGGACAGTAGAAATACCCACGGATTGCCCTAGAGTATCTGGGTGCTGACCCTCACGCTTTGTCGCCAGACGGAAGGCTGAAGCAATGCTGAATATTTCCTGTTCCACTGAACATTTCCAGTGCAGAAAGGGGTATTAGGAATGGGGCACTCCTGGGGACTGATGATCCCTGTGACTCACCAGCATTGTCCTTTTTACACTCTGGAACCTCATGTATGACCCTGTTCTGAGATGGGGCCCCTGAGTCTGGTCATGAACGGAGCTTTAACCAAGCTCAGAGGGAAAATCTGGTCATCTCCCGGCCAGGAACAGAAACGGGAAGTGGTTTTACAGACTCTGGGACCCTCTGCAGGCTCAGCGGGTTAGTCCCCAACAAGGCTGCTTCAGGCTATCACATTTTTCAGCTTGCCCGGCCCCACACTACCTGGGAACTGCCCGGTGAGGCCGAGTGGCCAGAGCTGCTCACTCAGTGTGCAGAGCGCTGTCCCCACTCTGACGCCTGGTGCGTTCCACTCGGCCCAGCACTCGGTCCTGATGGGGGCCCAGATTGAGACCATAAAGAACAGGAGCCCCCAGGAAATATTCACCAATATTCACAAAGGAGAAGAGATTTACAGCAGACCCCAAATAGTTTCCAAAAATGCATTAGAGAAAGCAGGCTAATAAAATGTAATCCAAGTGTATTTCCCTTGCTTAAACGTTCTCATCAGGTGCATAAAAAAAATAACAGGTTATAAAACATGTCATGTTTCTTGGAACATTAGAAGCGCTCCAAGAAAACCTCTTGGTGACCCTCTGCCGAAGCTCAAATTTCTCACCATTGCTAGAGGGACGATGCCCACAAAGGATGTCTGGCTGACGAAGATCTCGGAGACGGCCAGCTCGCTCATGGCGTCCTCCACCGGGTACTCTACCTGCCAGGTGATGGGCTGTGCCCCGGTCAGGCCGCTGCTGTTGTCGATCCCAAAGTCCACTTGCAGGATCTCATAGAAGGTGCCATTTGCCCTGGAAAACAAACACATGTCGAAGTGCAGTTGAAAACCTGAGGGTCCGTAGAACAGCAAGAAGGCATGAATGCCATGTTCCTCCTTGCCAGTCAAAAGCCCAACACAACAGTGTTGACAGAGCCTGATTCATGCGCTGTCAGTGACCCACACCTCCAAGTGGGTGGGCCGTTCATTTGCAGGGCTCAGTGGAAACCTGTCTGTTCTTCCCTGGGTAAACAGGTCAGACAGCTCTCCCCACCCCCATGTTTGCACACAGCAAGGGGCCCTGAGCCTCCCTCCATTCCTGAGGCACAGCCTGGACTCTGGCTAATTCCATATTTGTGTATCTGTATGGCTGTGGACCTGTGGCTCAAACTCAGAACTTTATGATTTGGGGAGAAGGGTGGTGACGTCATGGGCTGGTGGGAGCATCATGAGACCAAGCAGGGGAAGGACTCCATAACTCCCTATCCACTACATAACTATGAGCGACACATAAGATGGTACAGTGATTCCTCGTTTCATGACCCTGAAATGAGATGAGACATAAGAATCTCCCTGCCTTAATTCATGGAGTGGCAGCACTGCATATGTGTTTGGAGGAGGGGAAGAAGGTGGATGGGACACAGAAACATGAAAAAGACCAGCGTCACTCTCAGTATTTTTGTACACAGGAGCACCTTGTCATTGACGGGGATGTTGTAAATTATAGGCAGCCAATTGTACCAGCAGCAGAAGTCACTGGACAGAGAGTTAAAACAAGAGTCATCCAGCACAGGATTTGTGAAGGACTCCTGTTCTGTAGCCTTTTCCATCACCCCTGATGCTAACTTTATCCCCACCCCAGGAATCTGACAGCAGAGTGACCGATTCATGGTTCCTCGAGGCCTGAGTCACACAAACCATCCTATTCTTTTACTGTCAGTGGACCTGCCTGGACCAAAATGGGCTTGGAAGCCTTCAGGGTGTGGACAGGGTCTGCAGAAAGAGTTTTGAAAATAAACCTGGGCTTGCTGGTTGCCCACCAGAAATGTCATAGCATGGACAGCTCCCCTCCCACCTGCTGACTTAAGAAGACGGTGAAAACCGCCACTGGATGGTTAGAGGCGGCCAAGAGGTAGCAGAGGCAAGGGTCAGACATAGTGATAGTATTGACAGAGCTGACCTGCCCGATGCAGAATTCCACTCAAATCAGAACTACACTAGACTCCATATAGAACTGGTCATGCCCAACCCTTTTTCATGCAGGCAAGGTTTTAAGAAACTCTCTGATAGTGCTCTGTCCAATACTGTGGCCAGCAGCCAGAAATGGCTATTCACCCTGAAATACAATTTATTAAAATGACACAGCTGGGTGTCCCAGTTAAGCTGGGTTGGGACATGGGAGCTCTGTGCTCAAGTATCTATTTGTCACGGTGTTCTGCACAGGGAAGACAGTGTGTATGGCATAGAGATCCCTCGCTTCGTGAGAAGACGGATAGTGAGCACACGGGAGAACCCCCACCAGGGGCCCCCAGTTTACCTGGGCTTCTCTAGTGAGAAGGCAGGGCAAGGGGAGGCTAAGAGCTAATTCTGAGTTGCCGATGGGATTTCAGGGTCTTAGGGACGGAGGCCCTCACTTTAGTCACCCTCCTTCCTCTCCCCAGCCTGAGGTCTCCTCTCTGGTCACAGCAAGTCCTCACTTCTCCATCTGTTGAGTCTATGAGAGATGCTTGGTCCTATCGGACAAGATCTTCAGTTCATCTTTGGGCTGCATGGTCCCTGGAACCATGACTTGGGAGTTGCTTCTAATACCTCCTGGGTTCTCAGCACTTGGTAGACCTCAGCAAGGCGAACGCCAAGAAAGTGAGACCCCCAGCAAGAGAAGAAAAGGAGCATAACTCTCTGTGTTCTCAGCGATTTGATCCTGCGAAATCTGCACTCTGGTCTCGGGGTTACAGAAACAGCCAGTCTTAGGGCAGAGGGGCAGGGTCTGTGTGAAAGGGCCAGCCCCCTCCTCCCTTCCCAGGCCCTTCCTGGTCCTCTCTGACTGTCCAGCCCATGAGCTGCACGAGCTACAGGAATCCGCCCAAGTCCAGCTACAAACGGATCAACTCAGAGTCACTTATGCACAGGTTTTTATTTTAAGTCATTTCCTTCAAACCGGAGGAAAGGGGTCTTTTTAGTTTCAGGCAGCTGGCATGCTTGCTAATAAGTCCATTTCTATGGAAATGGGTTTATAATTATTAACTTTACCTGTTCCTGATCTGTCCTGGATAAACCTTTCAAATTTAGAAAAGTGCTTCACGATCCTCTCAATTTAATAATTACCAACTGCCTTTGAGGAATCTGGATCAGTATTGTGGCTGTGAGATATTCATTAGATATGTTTCCCTGGGGTGGAGAAGTGTGTGTGTGTGTGTGTGTGTGTGTGTGTGTGTGTGTGTGTGTGTGTTCGGAGGGGTCAGGCAGGAATTGCTAGTTGGCTGCTGCTCCCCTCAAGGCTGAGCACTCAGCATCTTCCCAGAAGGACTTGGTTCCCAAAGCCCTGTTTCCCACGGAAGCTTCTGCTTTAGTAGAGCTGAGCATCTTCCCTGGGACCCCAGGACCCCTAAGGTGGGTCTGAGGCCGCTTTTGAATGCGCAGTGTGACTGCAGCTCAGACACGCTGGCAAGATGGAGACAGGGGAGGGGTATGGGGGACCCAAACCAGCAGCTTGTCCCCAAGAGCCACATCCCGCCATTTCTCAGCATATAACTCATGATGACAATCATGGCTGTCTGGGGGAGGGAGGGGAGGAAGAAGGGAGAGAGAAATAAGAGAAGGGGGGAGGGGAGGGTTCAAAACCTTGAACTCTTCTCCAGCAAGTTGTGCCATTTACATCGATGATTACCCCACCACCCCCACCAACCTCTAGATGGTTCTGAGCTCCCAGGCTGAGATGCTGAAGCTTTCCCTGTATGAGCTTCTCTAGAAGTGGAGCAAGAAAGGCTGACCTCTGTCGGGATCTCCGTCTTAAGAGCTTTTCTCTGGCATTATGTTTTTAAATGACCAAAAGCAAGGCACCTACTGGCTCATGACCACATTGAGCAAAGGTCCCGGGAGAGGTTGTGCTGGTTCTTCCCAGTGAGCACAAGAAGGCTGAACTCCAACCTCCCTCTAGCTTGTTCACTCCATGGGGACCAGGAAGCGCCTGCGGCAGCTGACCCACCCAACAAACTGTAGGCCTTAGTGCCTATTTGTTTAATTCACTGAGCACACCTGAACGGCCCATCAGACACCTGTAAAGACCCAGGGCCGCCGTCTGCGTTCCAGGAGGCAAGGAGTTACCAGCCCGTGAGTTCTGAGCCATGTTCTTGGGCCTGGCTGGCCAGTGTGTTTATACTCTTTGCTCTGAGAAGGTAGGTCTGTCTCCACTACCACAATGTCATTCTCTTCTTTAAGACTTTGTTTTTTCACAAAGTTTTAAGTTCACAGCAGAATGGAGGGGAGGGTACAGAGACCCCCCCCCCCCCCCAGAAGCCGCCTGCCCTCCCCACTACTTCCTCCCACTATCAGCCTCCCCACCAGACGGTACATTTGTCACCACCGATGAACCTACGTTGACATCACCACCACCCAAAATCCATGACTGACTTCCCAGTTCAGTCTCAGTGGCGTACATTCGACAGGCTTGGACAAATGCAGGATGACCTCGATCTACCCTCGTGGTGTCCTATAGAGAATTCTCACCATCTTCTGGCAAGTCCCCTGTGCTCTGCCTATCCATCCCTCCTCTGCCCACTCCCTGGAAGCCGCTTATCTGTTTGCTGTCTCCGTCATTTTGCCTTTTCCAGAATGTCCTATCACTGGAATCCTATGTGTGAACCCTCTTCAGACTGGCCTCTTTCACTTAGAAATAGGTATTTAAGGTTCTTCCACATCTTTTCGTGGCTCGACAGCTCATTCCTTTTAAGTGCCGAATAACTTTCCATTGTCGGGATGGACCACGATTTATTTAATCACTCACCTACTGAAGGCCATCTTGGTGGACATAAGCTTTCAACTCCTTTGGGCAAAATACCAAGGAGATGACTGCTGTGTGGCATGAACCTGACTCTTCAAAGGCCAAAGCCTATTGTAACATGACAGTCACCATGGTCCCCGGCACACTCATTTATGCAGTGACATTTAGGAAGCACATATTATGCATTAGGCACTGAGAATTCATTGGTAGACGAAACAGATAAGATCCCTGTCTTGCTGGTCAGGTAAATAAAGAAGGCAAGTTCTGGTCGTGGAAGATGCTGTCCTAAAATGAAATAGAATTGAATTTCTTTTTTAAAAAAGCTAAACAAATTTTTAATTAAAAAAATTTAAATACAAATAAATACAAAAGAAATTTAAATAAAAAGAGTCCATTTTTATTTTAAACTAGAATATAGATTACAACAGGAGACAATGAAAGGTCTGGAGCCTGCCTGTGTAGGAAATGACATTTGAGCTGAGACCCAAAGGATGACGAGAAGCCAAACAAACCCTCAGCAAATGTTTGTTGAATAAATGAGCAAATCTATTTTAAGCTTTAAAAAAAAAAATCGTGGGAAAAGCTTATCCCAAACCATTCAGCATGAGCACAAGGTGCTAAAGGCAAAAGAACATCCACTCAGTGTTTGCTCAAACACCACCTGCTCAGTAAATCCCCTTCAGACCACTCTATCTAGAGTTCCATCCCCGTACCTACAGCTCCGACCCCGTTAGCCAGCTCTGTGTTTCCTGTGGCTTTTACCTTTCCACCTACTAAGTGATTTGTCGACTAACTGACTGATCAGTTATGTCGGTTCCCACCCCCACTCATGAGCGCGCACGCGCGCGCACACACCAACACACACACCCACACACACACATTCCTACGAATGTGTTTGCCCGTTATTGTATCCCCAGCACTTAGAACTCTGCCTGGGATGTGGTTGGTCCTCATTTGGTATCAAGGACTGTCCAACAACAGTTGGAACGAGATCTCAGAGGAACATGTGCTTAGCGAACCCTGAGACTAGGTGT